TGTGTGTGGGCGGGGGGGGGGGGGGGGGTCACGGCAGAACGGCAACGTCAGACCGCGTCTGGCAGAATGAATGACGGGATGGCTCACTTAGTTGGCGCTATCCACACCGGGGTCGGCTGTCTGACTCGCCTTGCGAGTTCTAGAAATAGCTTGCTTGCATTCGCATCCGCCCAACCTTTGACCACGAGATATACGAAGACCGCGGTTTCTCACGCTTGAATATAAGCAACCGCACCAAGGCGAGAAAGTTAGCCGATTGGTTGTGGCCTTTAAGCCAGTGGGAAACGCGTGTCGGACGACGCGTCTTATATTCGGCGGTCCACAAACGGAGATGAACCAGCGAGCGACTTTGGGTGGAAACGCAGCAAGTGAGTTTAGTTTGTGTTGGGGCTCGAAAGCTGACGCTCCGTAATCGAATCAGGTCGTGGGATTTCGAGGGACTTGTGTCCCCGTAATCGGGGCGTAATCCCACGAGCCCGCCCACTCCTGAGCTTGGATATGCTAACACCCGAGCACCTCTTTTTCAACCCTGTACAGGAGAAGTTTCCCTTTTGCATAATTGTTTCGATTATGTATTTTCATTCACTAAAAAAAGAATAAAGTGTGTATTGAAAAAGTATCCCCGAGTTCAACGGAATTTGTCGTCGACGGTCAAGAGAAGCAACTTCGTCTCCGACGAGACCCGCCCAGCTTCCCAGAATGAGGTCCGTCACCCGATCCGGACCTGGCAACCCGAACGGCTCGAGGTGACCTGAAAAAGAACCCGTACTGGCGCAATCGACAGGATTGGCCTCGACGACGTAAAAAAAAAAAAGGAAACATCATCCAGCGGCAACAGAACGACTACCGCAGAGAGCCCACACATCAGACACCGACAAGCGTGAAGGGAGCCCATATAGTCACCACTGTTCCAAAATCATTTGGTGGCCGAGTAGGTTAAACATAGTACACAAAATAAGCTCAAAAGACTCCTTTCCTCTGCCTTAATGTTTATTTTATTTTTATTTTCCACCAGCTTTTCACTTAAAGGCCCGTTCACACTCTTGCGACCTCTTAAACCTTGGTTCCTTAAAACTTCTTAAACCAGAGAACACACTGGTGCCATCTATTGGGAAGCAGTGTAAACTCGGCGGTCCGGCATATTTTTTTTATTTCTCGCGCATTATCCTTTCTTTCTTGGCTCGAAAAACTTTTGTCAATGTTATAAACGAGCCTTTTTATGGGTATTACGCTCATTTGACCTCGGAAATCCCGCAAAACCTTCGCTCTTGTGAAATCCAGTTCCAGGGTCACCGCATAGATGGCGCCACAATGCCAGTGTGTTCCCTCATTCTAAAAACATTTAAGAAGTTTTAAGAGATCTCGTCTCTCTCAGTCGTACTCGGTCGCAAGAGTGTGAACGGGCCTTTAAGTGAAAAGCTGGTGGAAAATAAAAATAAAATAAACATTAAGGCAGAGGAAAGGAGTCTTTTGAGCAAATCATAGTCAGATGGTCACATGACCATTATCTATTGTCCATGACCACTCACAGCATGCGTCTGAGTGAGCCCAACACATTCTGAGCTTTCGTTGTCTTTATGAGCATAATCAAGCTTGCCTAAATTTTTTTTCTTACATTGCTGTGATGCTGCTCATGCCTACATTGCACCACAAGTTAATTCCTCCCATCAATATAGAAACCAATTGATCAGGCCCTGCTTCATGGCTGGACTATCACGGTGGGCTTGAGCAAATCAAAACTTATTGCTGCTCTGGGCAGTATACTATTGCATTCACAACGGAATGAATGAGAACACGGTGTGCATTCGTGCTCCAAAATTTTCTTTTGCTGTTTGAAAATAGATTTCTTGGCTGGTCCAGAAGGGGCTCTGAAATGACTTAGACTGTTCACATCACTTCAGCAGTAGCTTGGAGTTACTGTCTTTGATTTGTTTTAGTGTGCGGTTTTTTGCCAATTCTGTTTTGTTTGAATTGTGTGCAGTCACAAGGTTGGTCATCCTACGTGGGGACAAGGCACGCAACTGGGGCTCAAGGCTGATTCAGCACAAAGTCTTTGCATCAGGAAGATTTCAGCAGCCACAAGCAATGGCACTTGGGTCTAAATTTGGCAAGTATGGCAATACTTAAAAGCCAAACTGCGTTTGTGAAAAAAAAAATTCGGGACATTTATGTTTAGCTTTAGCATATGACGCGATAGCGGGAGGGCAGGGGGTGGAGGAGGAGATGGGAGGCAGGGGAAGGGGCAGGGAGGGTAGCAGTGGGGAAGGAGATTGGAGTAGTGGGGAGGGGAATCCTATAATTGCTTGCATGCACAAGGGATCATGGAATTGCATGGGATTCCTTACGCACACAAGACATTGTGAAATTTTCTCAACGCGCCGACGCTGAACGCCGGATCTTTCGCTACACGGGAGCCTTAACGCTATTGTGTTAAAACATAACCTAACTTGGCTTCACTTATAACTGGAACATAGCTTTACTATACCGCCTTTAGTTACATAAAACAATATCTATGTGATGCTAGAAATGAGATATGGTTAGCATGTAGTCATATTTTAGGAGAAATGACGGCACTGTAGATATGATGAATCATATACATGGCAAATATAGGCCAATGATATCAGGAGTATGTAAGTGGCGGCTGCATCCCAAGCTGTCCATATTTATTTTGAATACCATCCCAAACTTAAGTGCTGAGAACACTGCTGCCGCCATTTGTTTATCTGTAGCAACACCTGGCACAGTGCACAGAGATTGTATTGCAAGCTAAGCATGAAATTTCTAGCTCGCTCTGAGTATTCATATCTCTCACGGTGACAAGAGCATTTTATTCTGTGATGGTGGGGGAAGTCTTGTTCTACGTTAGAACAGTATAACTGCCGAAATGCGTAACTCTTAACAGTCATCCAGCTTAACTAGTTGAACAAGAGGAGTAAATTTTTATGTGAGCTGTGTAATAACGTAGACCCCTGACCTAGAAAACAAACTCACTCCACTCCTAAGTTGAAAAATGTCTAGCAAGTGAATATTAGGCTTTCCCATCAAATAGCTAAATTTTAGTGCAGCACTCTTTTACAAACTTTGTCCATATCCTCTCATTCATTTGCTCAGGTATATCGGGGCTGTGCAGAGATACTGAAATAGTATTCGTGAACACCAAAATACATGTACTACAAAGCTAATATATAGCTTCTGAGATAGAATGAAGTTTGACTTGATTAGCAGAAGCTAAGTTATAGTATTCACTTGTCACATAAAACTTCTTTCAAACATTGGAAGCACTATCGGTATCATTAGTTTCTTTGCACACCGAATAAAGCGTGGCTGAAATTATATAACATATCTATTAAATGGCTATTTTTTGGCATATTCATATATGTTATATCCATAAAGGGTTCCTTTCTCTTGCCGATCAAAGGGTACTTGGGCCTGGGGTCTAACCATCAAAGTAAATAAATGTGATGTTTCTATTTCTATCAACACATTATTTATGCAGTGTTCTGGCTTAACTGCATTTGCATGTACATACACAGTGGTCACATTGGAGACATGAAGACCACTCTCAAATTACAACATACAGCATGCCACAAATTTTACAGGCACAAAATGACTAACCTAGGGAAACTTCATGACTCACTGTTTGATTCATTGTCTGTTGACCAGTAGTAGGAAGTAAATTGAAGCGGCGAAACATATGCGGTGAAACGCTGAGCATGTCGTACAATGCGGGGGGAAGATGATAGAATCCGACAATGCTTAATTCTGTCGAATTCTGCAATCTTTTTGACATATTGTACGAAGTGCTGAGCGCTTCATTGAGCCAGCACTTTGCACCTTCACTTTACTTCTTACAATGATTAACCGGCAGTGACCTGAACGGTGAACATTTTTATGGTAACCATTAAATTAACAGTCCGTTGACCGGCAAATAAACTCCCACCATGCCGTGACCGTAGCGGCAGTCAGTAAATCTCGTTTTCGGTCTGTTCAGTATTCCCCCGTCAAATTAACGGTATTTGTTTTTACTGTGACTGTTTAATTCACTGGGAGATAGAATAGAATAGAATAGTTTATTTCAGACATACATGTGTGATACATATGTCTGGGGGGCTGCAGCAAAAGAAGGCAAAAAAGCCCTCTGACGAGGCCGCTAGCCCCCCTCCCCTGCCCATAGCAGTCAACAGAGACAGCATACAATAATTTAGCAACAAGATTGAAATAAACATAGGCATCAGTAAACCATTCCACTTAATATCATCAATATAAACATAAGCAATGCGTCATAATAAAAAAAAGAAACAAACTAATAAAAAAATCATGAAACAAAAACCAGAGAAAACTGTATTCATTGACATTAACATCTTCGTTATCAACAAAATCATCCAACGCACGTCTGATATTAACACATCACAACACTTCATAACACCATGAAAGAAGGACATATTAAAGGCATTATATTTGCAATATAAACACATAAAAGCCACATTAAATAATCTAAGGTAGGCGATCAGCTTCAAGGAAATATGTTCTAACTTTTTTCCTGAACGGTTGGAATGTTCTACGCTGCTGTGCTATTTGCACAATGCTTGGGTGTTTATTTAGTAGGTTAGGAATTTGGTAATCTAGTCTTTGAGTTCCATAGTTAGTTCTAACATTTGGTTTTGTATAATTCGTACTCCTAAGATCGTATTCCGCAGATTTATAAAGATAAGTATCGAGGAAATGTGCCTCATCATGCTTGATCTGATCAAAAATTACGATTGCCAGTTTATGAGAGAGGACATGTTCTATTGGTAGTAACTTATATTTTTCAAATGAGGATGCTGTATGTTCGATGTAGCCTAAATTGTCAATAATTCTTACAGCCTTCTTTTGTAAAAGGAATATTTTACAAAAGACCGTAAATTTTCCAAATTTACGGTCAGACCGTAAATTTGAATTTACGGTCTGCCGTATAAATTATGAGAAATTGCTGGCGGCCAGAATGCCGGTCAACTTACCGTAATTTTGACGGTCCATTTTTTCCAGTGTATGTGAAGAAGCATGGTCATGGCCACTCTTAGTTCTGCTAGACCACCCTCTGATGATGCGCCTGCCGGGACTGGGACTGCAGGCTTAGCGTCTGGTTTTATGTCGCTGGCGGTGTTATCCGCGAGTGCACCGAGCGTCAAAAGGTCGTCCTCACTCAAGTATCTGTCGGCGTCCTCTGTAGACGGCATCGTGTTGTAGTGGAGGCTTCCGCAGGTGAATGAACTTAGGCTTGCGAAGAAACGCGCCCTCAACTGTGGGCAAACTCAGGAACGCAAAATTGACACTGTAAAACCTAAGAACGAACCCAGCTTGCTGCCATCCTCCCAGACGAGCAGCATATCACGTCTGGGCGCCAGTGTGGGATTTCCCTTGCTGCTACCCGTCTCGGAGAATGACACAGCACACCGGTTCAACAACACGTAAACATTTAATGAGCGCTATCGCCTGCGCCGCGATCCCAACAGCCCCCCGCGCATCCGCTCCGACGGCCTTTTATCAGCGGCGCAGCGCCGCTCGCGTGGCCAGTTGCCCTTGGCCCCCTCGTAGTCAAGATGACCACTCATGATTGTGGGAGGGACAGCATGGGTCAACCGCTTGGAATCGCGAGGTTGCCCACAATATATATATATATATATATATATATATATATATATATATATAAAGAGTGACGAATGTTGACAAATGCTTCCGTTGATATATGGGCAAAAGTGATGTGCGCAGACACAGCAGCCGTAGGATGAAAAGAATAAAATTCTAATTTAATGGCGAAAAAAGTCACGCAAGAAAAAAGGGTGAAGTGCCGAAAAAAAGTTGTATTAGTTTACGGGAATAATGAAGACTAGGCACAAGAGCGCTAATTACGCGGGAAAGAAACTTTTAAACAGGACGGAGTAAAAGTCAAAGTTAACACACAAGAACTTACAAAAAATAAATTGTTAAATGAAAAATAAAATAAAGAATTGAAAATAAAAAATGTATAAAAAAATAAGAAAAGGGCCTGACGTCCGTCGACGTTTCGGCAGTGGCACTGCCTTCTTCAGGACGGGAGCCCACATGGCGTGGTAGGTTAGTTTTATAAAATATCTAGGGAGAGGGTTAGTTAACGCAAAAGTTCGAAGGGGTTTGTAGGGTAAGGGAAGCACGTGGGGGACGAGTCCAATTTTGTCGCGATGAGGGAGGCGGTTCTGGGTTTGTTTTTTCACAGGTGCGCTGGTGGTATGGAGGAGCTCGTAGGGAAGGGGAACACAGAGGGCAAAGTCCAATCTTGACGCGATGAGGCATGACAATTGTAGGTTCTGTTTGTCGGTGCATTGGTAGCAGAAGGAGCTTGCCGGGAGAGGAAGCGCCAGGGGGTATGAGTCCACTTTTGTCGCGGTGAGGGATCAAGGTTGCGGATTTTGTTCGGAAGCTGCCCTCCCGGGTAATTACGGTGCAGTGAGTGAGTCGTAGCGTCCTTGAGTGACCGAGTCGTCTGGGGCCCTCTTTCTCCTTGTCCCCGAGGGCTGGTACGTCCAGACCCAAGAAGGAAGAAAAAGGAGAGAAAAAAAGGGGATTAAGTAGGGCGGGGATGTCGCGGCAGGTGGTCGTTTAAGCTGTGTATGGTTGACAGAGTGCCCAAATCTTTGTTAATTTTGCACTGGAATTTATGAATTAGGAATGACTCGCGAATTTCTCTATTTGTTTGACTTTTGAAGCCACTCTGTATGATGACTAATTTTGCCTCCGTTATTACATGTCCATTCTGGCTAAAGTGTTTGGATACTGGAAGGTCGGGTTTGCACCTAACGTCGGACTTATGGCCGTTGTATCTTTGACGAAACGTGGATTTGGTTTGACCAATGTACTGCTCTTTACATTTGTGACATTCAATAAGGTATATTACATTGTCCGAGTCACAGTCGACATCGCTGCTAATCGTTTGACGGAAGTGCGAATTGGTGCTAGATACAATATTAGTGGAAAGCATTTGACGGCATATCTTGCAAGGAGATTTTCCGCATGGTTTACATCCCGTTGGTTTTGAATGACTTTGTTTATTTAGTTTTGCATGCACGAGATTGTCACGAATGTTTCGAGGTCGTCTAAAAACCGCTCTGGGCGCGTCGGGGAATATTTCTTTAAGTTTAGTCGATTGCTCTATCAAGTACTGATGTTTCTTTAAGATCGAGCGGATGGCAGGGAGGTTATTACTGTAGGTAAGTGTGAGGTTCACAGGATTTTTGGGGGCATTTCGCGTGGTGTCCGGAGAAAGTATTAAATTACGATCTTTTGCACGTGCCTTGTCTATCGCGTTATCCACTAAGGCCGTTGGGTATTCACGTCCCCGGAACGCCTCCCTGAGTTGTTCTAAATTTCTGTCTAGATCGTCATCGTTTGAGCAGATTCGGCGGCATCGGAGGGCCTGGCTATAAGGGATGGCTGTTTTGGAATGTCGGGGGTGCGAGCTTTTGAACGAGAGATATTGCTGTGAATCGGTTGGTTTTCGGAAGAGTGTGGTGCTTAATACACCATCTACGAGTTTCACAGAGACATCCAAGAAGTTGATACTTGTGAGGGAATAAGAGCTTGTGAATTTTATAGTAGGATGAAACTGGTTAAAATTTTTAATGAAACAAAGTAGATCGCTAAGGCCGTGCTGCCAAATTATAAATATGTCGTCAATATATCGTTTGTACAAGAGAGGAGTCAGCGCGCATTGTCCCAAGAAACTGTCCTCCAAAACTCCCATGAATACGTTCGCGTAGTTTGGCGCCATTTTTGTACCCATTGCTGTGCCATTAGTTTGGAGATAATGGTTGTCGTCGAATTCGAAATGATTAAAGTTTAGTATTAAATCCAAAAGTTTTGAGAGAGTCTCGGAGCTGACAAGCTTGTCTTTTTTGCGGTTGTATGCGGAAGCGGTGGCCTGAATGCCGTCGGCATGTGGTATGTTGGTGTAGAGTGAGGATACATCCAAGGTTACCAATAGCGCGTTTGGGGGAAAGTCGACATTAGAAATGAGATTTAGAAAGTGTGTCGTGTCTTTGATGTATGAGTTAAAAGTTTCGGGGAGATCTTTAATGAGGTAATCTACAAAATTTGATAAGTTTTCAGTCACAGTGCTATTCGACGAGACAATAGGTCGGCCTGGATTTCCTGGTTTGTGAATTTTGGGTAAAAGATAAAAGCGTCCTGGTTTGCAGTCGGTGGGAGTGAGGAAGCTTAAGAGGTGGTCGTCTATTTTGTTCTCTTTGTGCAAGCGCCTTAGGACCCGGGCGATGGTAGCTGCATAGTTAGCAGTCGGATCAGAAGTTAGGGCGGTATAAAAGTTTTGGTCACTGAGTTGACGCAGGGCTTCTGTTTTATACATGGCGGAGTCCATTACGACTGTGGCCCCTCCCTTGTCCGCCGGCTTGATCACAATGTCGTTCCTTTGTTGAAGGTTCTCCAGACTTTTTTTCTCGTCGGGTTTTAGGTTACTTTTTTTACCATTCGAGTCTTTGCGTCTACAATGCATTAAAACATCTTTTTGAATTCCCCTTACGTATAGGTCCAGATTCGGATCTTTGCTGGCGAATGGTGTAAAGTCGCTGGATTGTCTGAAGGGATGGATAGGGGGAGAGGAGACATTTCCATGAAAGTGCTCCCGAAGGCGGAGATTTCGAGCGAAATTATGTAGGTCGAGGTGCATTTGATATTCATTTACATGGGTATTGTCTGGACAGAAGGAAAGTCCCTTTCTTAATAGATTTATATCCGAGTGAGAGAGCTCAACTGATGATAAATTTACCACGGTGTTATCAATGATGCCGGATGCCTTAAGCATACCGGCAGGTTCGCTCTGGCTTAGGGTAGGGGGCTCTGTGTCGGGTGACCGTCGTCGGATATCGCTTATCCCTTCCTCTCCGCGGGCTTGACAAGTCTCTTGCAGGGTGTCTGGATCGGGTGATTCTAGATCGATATGGTCGCGGGAAAACTTTTTGGATACTCTTACATGTAATGAATGGGACTTTTTGGTGATGAAGCTAGCTAATTCATGCTTGTGCTTTTCCGAAAGTGGCATGGTTTTGGACAGTTCCTCCTCCTCTTGGCGTAAGGAGGTTATATTAGATTTACATTGGGCAATTAGGATTTTGACTAAATCATTGGAAGTCCTCGAGAGCGACGCGCTCCATTGCGATGCGCGTGCGGGATCAAGTGGAAAGTTTGGAAGAGCGGATATTTTAAGGCCCCTAGGGTAACTCTCGTTCTGGGAGTATCGTGATAATGACATGAGATGGTTTTCATAACTAATGCGTTTTCCAATTATTCTGCGGAGGCGAAAGAAATGCTGATTGGGAGCGTTTAGGTTAGGTTTAGCGGGCGGAGAGTATGAAAAGGGTTCACCGGATGGCAGTCAGTTCGGCCGCTGGTTGCCGTGGGGCCGGATTCGGCGTGGCTGGGTGCGACGTGGCTGGGTGCGACGTGGCTGGCCGCGCCGGGCCTCCGTGTGCTGTATCAGTGTAGCCTCCCCGAGCGTTGGCCAGTGCACATCCGGCGCCGAGGCTCCTTGAGGTCTCGGGGTCTGCCGCAGGAGGCATGGGATCAGCGCCCTGAGGTTTCGGCTCATGATGTGCACTCCGGCGAAGCTGGGATGGAGGCCATCCGCAGCCAGGACCCGGGGGAGTCCGCACGCCTGCAGGTTGTGCGTGTAAAAAAACAGGCCGGGTGTGGACATGCAAATGTCCGTCAGCTGCCGGTTGAAGATTCCGGCTCGGTGGTTGAAGGCATCCGTGAAATGCCTGTTAGGAAAATGGAGATGGCGGTTAATGATCCGGGGCAGGACGTGGCTACAGACGACCAGTTGGATGCCTAGTCTTGTTTGGATGTGGTGCAGCAGGTCGAGGTAGTGTTGACGGACGGCCTGAGGATCCTTAGAAGCTAGGTCATTAGTGGCGACGTGCAGAATGACGATTCGAACGCTTGGCGGCAGTAGGTCGACTTCTTGGTGGACTTCTTGGCTTTAGTGGCGACGTGCAGAATGACGATTCGAACGCTTGGC